TGTGAAGCATGTTTAATCAGAATGTATTTAAACAATATACAAAATCAACAGCATGTAATGTGGTTCAAAAACATTTTGTTGACTTCAAACAAATAGAACATATTATATTATGACTGACAAAACCAAGTGGAAACATTTTATGTTAAGTACGGTCTAATCCAACAGATGGTTAAGTTCTTCAGCATAAACTAGGAGAATTTAAGGGTGAAAGGATTTGTCACATACAGAAGTGATAAGTTTAAGAGACAAAAGGATTTGTCACATATACAAGTGATGAGTTTAAGGAGTAAAAGGATTTGTCACATATAAAAGTGATGAGTTTAAGGGGTGAAAGGATTTGTCACACATAGAAGTAATGAGTTTAAGGGGTAAACGGATTTGTCACATATACAAGTGATAAGTTTAAGAGACAAAAGGATTTGTCACATATACAAGTGATGAGTTTAAGGAGTAAAAGGATTTGTCACATATACAAGTGATGAGTTTAAGGAGTAAAAGGATTTGTCACATATACAAGTGATGAGTTTAAGGAGTAAAAGGATTTGTCACATATACAAGTGATGAGTTTAAGGAGTAAAAGGATTTGTCACATATACAAGTGATGAGTTTAAGGGGTAAAAGGATTTGTCACATATAGAAGTGATAAGTTAAAGAGACAAAAGGATTTGTCACATATAGAAGTGATGAGTTTCAGGGGTAAAAGGATTTGTCACATATAGAAGTGATAAGTTAAAGAGACAAAAGGATTTGTCACATATAGAAGTGATAGTTAAAGAGACAAAATGATTTGTCACATATAGAAGTGATAAGTTAAAGAGACAAAAGGATTTGTCACATATAGAAGTAATGAGTTTAAGGGGTAAAAGGATTTGTCACATATAGAAGTGATGAGTTTAGGGGTTAAAGGATTTGTCACATACAGAAGTGAGAGTTTGAGGGGTTAAAGGATTTGTCACATATAGAAGTGATGAATTTAAAGTATAGAAGGATTTGTCAAATAAAGAAGTGAGGAGTTTGTGGGATCAAAGGATGTGTCACAAAGTAAGCTTTAAATCTATGATTGTTTCCTATGACAGTGAATTTAGTTGCTACCTCATCAACTGCTTGTACATACAAGATTTACATGTCTGTCTATAAAGAGAGCATAATGCAAACTGGCTTGGCTTGAAGTGACTACGATATTTTATGCAGAATCATCAGAGATTCAGAAGAAGAAGCAAAAGCAGACGAAGAAGAAGAAGAAGAAGAAGTAGAAGAAGATGGAGGCAGTAACAGCAGTAATATCAGCAGTTTCAGCAGTTACATTAGAAAAAAAAAGATTAGAAGCAGCAGCAGAAGCAGATGTACTAGCTTTAGCAGGCACGTACTAGCTGTGGCAGGCACGTACTAGCTGTGGCAGGCACGCACTAGCTGTAGCAGGCACGTACTAGCTGTAGCAGGCACGTACTAGCTGTAGCAGGCACGTACTAGCTGTAGCAGGCACGCACTAGCTGTAGCAGGCACGCACTAGCTGTAGCAGGCACGTACTAGCTGTGGCAGGCACGTACTAGCTGTAGCAGGCACGTACTAGCTGTAGCAGGCACGTACTAGCTGTAGCAGGCACGTACTAGCTGTAGCAGGCACGTACTAGCTGTAGCAGGCACGTATTAGCTGTAGCAGGCACGTACTAGCTGTAGCAGGCACGTACTAGCTGTAGCAGGCACGTACTAGCTGTAGCAGGCAATTACTAGCTGTAGCAGGCAATTACTAGCTGTAGCAGGCACGTTCTAGCTGTAGCATTGAATTAAATAAATTACATATTATAATGCATCAGGGTAGTCACTGTTCATATCACACAGACAAAACCATGGCATTTTAAGGTTAAAAAACAAAACAAAAAAAAACAAAAAAAGATTAGCAGATGCAGAAACTAGTGTTTAAACACAATCCAGCATATAACATTCGTTGGTGAGGATGAGTATTTGGATTCAAAAACTGGGTAATGTGACCAACATTCAGACAGGCACTTAAAGGTGGAAATTACAGACAACAATCTAGTTTTGGCAAGGATATGATGGAATGCATGTTTGAAAGTAAAATTCATGAAATGATGGAAAAGTCAAAACAAACTTTTGTGACAGGGATAACACATTTCAGTAAATAATCAGAAATAAAATATGTCACAGAATCCAATATATATCAGCAGAAATGTGTGATGGCATAGTAATTAGCTCGCTCACCTCTTAGGAAAGCAGTCTGTGTTAAAACCCTACAAGTGGAAAAATTATGTGTGTCGACCTTGGTTTCAACCTTCGGAGGGTCCAGGAGAATTTACTCTGAGAAGTTGAAAATATAAATTCTAACTTGCCAATTACTTCTAATGACAATGTTCTTCTCTGGCATGTTGACTTATTATTAAACACCTTCTCCAGACAAGAACAACCTTATCAGAAATAACTGGCAGTATACAGGACAGAAGGGTGAGGACAAACATGATGTAACTTAACGAGGCATCAACTCATAAGAAGAAAAGACAGATCTAATTCTGCTGTCTGGCAGACACTAGGTCAAGTAACAAATAATAATAACCAAACCCCTGACCTAAATATTATAATATGTTGTTCATAGTAATAATAAACAAATGAGTAATATAAAAAAAATATACTTGAAAACATGACTAAACATGTTTTTTTAAAATTCTTCGCACCAGAGCAGCCAGCATCAACATATATAAATTATCTATAAAAAAAAAAATTTGATTCAGTTTTGGCGAGGTGAAACAACAACAAATATGAACACAAAATCAACATACGATTAGTTAGTTAGTTAGTTAGTTAGTCTTTTCTCTTGAGACTAAGGCGACACATAGGGCAGTGGTCATAGCTCTCCATGACCAGCGGTTGGTTGCCAACTGTTTTAGATCTTGGATCCAGCATCAGAATAAGACTGGTAATTTTGAAAATGTGAACACACAATCTTCTTTATAAAAAGTTAGCTGTGTATCCTTTACAGCAGAACCAACGCCAGCATCTTTTGGCTGATGTGGTTTCTCAAGGCAAATTTACGTCCAGCAGTTTGCCACTGTTCATAACGGTCAGCTCAGGGTACCACTGTCGAAACTGGGACAAGGCTCGCAGTTGGGATTGAACCAGGCACCCTGGCATTTCAAAGCGTGTTCACACGCCTAAGCCACAGATGCTTTTTAAACCATCTCTAAAAGACAAGTTTCTAAAACAGTATTTATTAAAAAAAAATTTGTTTTTTAAATTTGTAAAGAACGCCGATTCAGTTTGACAAGGCAAAGCAGCAAATATGAGCATCAATTCAACCCAACATCTGACAAATAAGCCAACATCTTGAGAATAATGGATAGTTTTGGTGGTATGAAAACAATATTTTTTACCAGTTTGTCAGTTCTCGTGGGCAAAAAGCCAAGAAGAAAACAAACAAAACAGAATTATATTATCTGACAGAACACGCTTGGTGAAACAACAATCAAGAACACATAAATCAACATTTTATGCCGCGTTACGACAACTTGAAAACAATAGTTTTTTTTTTTTTCTGAGTCAATACTGACGGGTAAACAAGAGGTAACCCAAACAATTAAACAATCAACATTAACACTGTGAGACAAACAAATGACGAAAGTATTTCACTTGTTCTTTTTACTGATCTTTAGAATATCTGTCTGACATTATTTCTGGACTTTCTTGTTCAGTACTTGTCCTATGTTATACATCTTTATCTCTCCAATTCTCTTTTCTTATCTGTTAGTTCAGTTATTTAATCAAACGATTATCCTCACTGCACACCTGACAAGTCCATAAGCACACGGATCCCATCTTCAGTATACCCCCCCCCAACTGATTATACCAGTTCTGTGTTGGCTTTTCTTATTTTTCCTTTATTAAATTCCCTTTCTCAAATTGTCTTTTCATCTTTTTTTCCTTTCTCTCTCTCACATATATAGTTTCCCCTCTTCTGTTTCTCTAGCATTACACTTCTCTCTCTCCCTAGTCCTTTCTTTTATTCATAGCTATCCCTAGCTCTTTCCCTCTTTCAAATACCAACCATCGTGGAAATGCTCTCCTGCATGCACTTGCTTGTGAGCCAAACTTGCCACTCTTGAGTGTAACTTTCTGTACCGTCACATCACAAGGACAGCTCTGTGACCCACTGGATGACCACGTATGGCAGGGGAAAGAACTGAAGTTTTAAACACATTATGCAAATAACTGTGGTTGGAGCATGCAATTAAAACAGTAAGGATGGGACAACCGACAGTTATAATTATGTATTAAAAACTGTTAGCTGGAACAAACAAACAAAACTTTTTAAAAAAAAGTAAATGCAATGTGAACTAAAAGCAGCATTAAATTTTAAAGGTAAATGAATTAATTCAAACAAAAACTAGGCTAAAGATTTAATTGTAATAGCTGCTTTATAAAGATTAGTAAAGTGATTTTATAAAGGACCAAACATAAAATCAAAAGGAGGAGTAGAAAATGTGCACTCTAAGTACCTCAAAAGCTTATCAGAAGAAACAAAACCAACAATAACAAATGTTTAGTGTCAAACATAATTCTTCTCAAAAGCAAGACTTGAGGGTTTAACAGAAACGTTTTCATTCCTGCAGTCTATTGTGTGTGCTAGCGGTTCTACTGGTTCATCTAAATGGCTTTTTCCTAGCAGACTAACTCCTGTTCTGGTTGTGTTCTAGTGGTTGTACAGCAGTCACTCTACAACAGCAGTTCCCAACCATTTTCAAGTGACCACCCCATTTTTCAGAAACAAAATGAGTTGCAACCTTATCAATTAAAAAAAAAAAAACGGCCTTTGTAATAACGTCAATGAAACTATACTGAGAATAGATTTTCAGTACAATATAATTCAAAATAATGGTAAATCTCTGTATAAGGTGCGACGACATGATCTTTTTCCATTTTTAACATTCTCCTTGCTCACCAATGTCAGGCAACCCCACAGAAAATGTGACCCTTAAGATGGGAACCCGTCTTCTACAGTGTATCCTCCAGCCGCCTGCGGGCAGGCTTCTGTGGACTGGAGTGACTGAAGCTCTGGTATCTGTGTGGGGATGTAAGCTCCACAGAGGTGTCAATGTTCTCCTTGGCTTGCTCCAAATCCTTACTAGTCTTATGCACTACAAGAGAGAAGTAACAAAAAACCATTAGCAATTCACAATTTTATATATATATAGTGGGGCTGCGTGGTAGAGGTTCCGGGTTTAATTCCCGGGAAGGGCTGATATTTTTTTACGTGGACTTGGATTTCTAGTTATTCCCCCTGGTCTCTGGGTAGTGAGACTGGATGCCCGTGTGCATTGTTGCTCATGTTAAAAAAAATCCCTTGGCAGTTGGAAATCGAAAATAGTAGACTAACAGCACTGCCCCGGCGAAATAAATGGACTTAAAAATCTAACCGAAGTATTTCAGGATCCTTGCCGGTGCTACAGTCTGTGCACTGTGCTGAGCTTCTTCAGACTCAGACTTGAGTCAGAAGAAAAAAAGAACACTTATGGGTGACTACCTGTGTGCCATGATGTTGATCCATTGTTCAAACTTCAAACATATATATGTTGAGTGATAAGCAAGAGAACAGCAGGCTTCAAGACAAGAGGCTGACCAAGAAAGATATGGGTGGAGGGGGCAAAAGAGACACTACAGGACTACAATATAACATTAACACAAGCTAGGCAACTAGGACTAGACAAGAAACACCCATCTAACTCCTCTCTGAAGCAGTAGGATAAAAGAAGAAGAAGCAGAAGAAAAGAGCCATGGAGGTAAAGTGGAAGTTGCACTGACTTTCTTACAAGCACAGACTGCACAGGTTGGTTTTTTTTTAGCACAGTGCAGAGGGTACTTGCTTTTTTTTAACATTGTGAATAGTGCATTGATTTTTTTTTTTTTTTTACATAATGTAGAGTGATTATTTTAACAACATGAAGAGTGCACTGATTTGTTTCAACATAATGTAGAGGGCATACATTTGTTTAAACATAATGCAGTGTCCACCAATTTGTTTTAACAACATGCAGAGTGCACTGATTTTTGTGTGTGTTAAACACAGTAACAGCTCCCTCAAGCTCTAGTCCCAAATACAGTCTTCTCAGGCACGTTGACAGATAGTTCAACATAATCTTGACCACGAACAAGAAACGTTGGAAAAGCCAAACAGCTGATCAGATAGAAAATTTGTATTGGTTTCAACTGCTTCCTCAGTCAATGCACCAGAGGTACAAAAGTCTAGGGGTGATCAGATTGGCCCCATAGAAAAGTATCAATGATTTTAACATTACCCTCACAGGATGACCAAACACAGCACTTCCAAATGTAGATACTTCAGGAGCTCCCAAACGTACGAGTAACGAGTACGAGTAAAGGACCCTTTCCCACGCCTTTAGACATATAGGGCATATAGGGCTAGACCTATATTTTTTATAGACCAACGGCACAAGATGGGTGATGTGGTCAGCATCACGCCGGCCGCTTCTACTTCCTGGGACTGCACCTGGTACCCACTTAAGACTGGGTCGACCTGGGAGCCAAGGTCATTTTTTTAAGAAAAGTCCGGCTCCGCCAGGGAGCGAACCCACGACATTCCGATCCACGGCGTGCGTCTAGCCGTTCTGCCACGGCGACTCCTAAACGTACACTTGAGCAGAATCACTCATCTCGCAGCAGATGCCAATGCAGCCATTTGTTTGGAACTGGACAGTCAGATTTTTCTGCCCAGGTGGTGCTCTATCTAACATTCACTTTATCTGCAAATTCACTCACTTCTCATTCCTCAAGAGCAATACAACCTGGTTTTCTCAACATTGAAAATAAAAACAACTGAATCTTCTCGTTCGTTCCAAGTTTAAATAAGTTGTTTCCTTCTCGCGTTCTCGTACGTTCAACACAGAACTCATGTCTCTTCTCATCTGGCACACTTTTAGCCAACTTGCACGCTTGTCTCAAGCTATTCATTACATGATGCATACATTATCTTTCATACTCGATACCATTCAACTGAATTCATGTACATCATTTATGTTTAGTATTTAACCTCATTTACAAATGATGAGAACATTAATTACCAATGAGAAAATGACTCATTACACAGTAAATAATGCAAGTCTTTCTGCAGAATGCCCTAATTTTCCAATATAATGGGATTTTTGCCAGTTGACCAGGGCTTCCAAAGTCTGTCACTTACAGACAAAACTGCCCTACTTTCTGGAAAGAGCTAATCTAGTTTCTTGAATGTACAGACACAACTACCCTAATTTCTTGAACCTACAGACAAAACTTCCCTAATTTCTTGAGCGTACGGGCAAAGCTACCCTAGTTTCTGGAAAGTACAGGCAACGCTGCCCTAGTAGCTTGAACATACAGACATAATTGCCCTAGTTTCTTCTTGAATGTACAGACAAAACTGACATAGTTTCTTGAATGTACAGACAAAACTGCCCCAGTTTCTGGAACTATAAAAAAAAATTGCCCTAGTTTCTTGAATGTACAGACAAAACTGCCCCAGTTTCTGGAACTAGACAAAACTGCCCTAGTTTCTAGAAACTATTTTTAAAAAATTGCCCTAGTTTCTTAAATGTACAGACAAAACTGCCCTTGTTTCTGTAACTAGATAAAACTTCCCCAGTTTCTGGAACTAAACAAAAACTGCTCTAATTTCTGGAATTACAGATAAAACTGCCCCAGTTTCTGGAATGTACAGACAAAACTGCCCCAGTTTCTGGAATGTACAGACAAAACTGCCCTAGTTTCTGGAATGTACAGACAAAACTGCCCTAGTTTCTGGAACTAGACAAAATTGCCCCAGTTTCTGTAATGCACATACAAACCTGCCCAAACTTCTGGAACATACAAAGACAGTTTTCACAATGTGTGAAACATATACACACAAAACTGTCACCAGCCATGCTGCCTGCCTACAATGTGAGACCTTGGGGTGAACTTACACTGCTTATAGAGGGAGTTCTCCCAAGACCTGTTGCTGCTGCTGCTGCTCTCTGTGTGAGGGCTCCTGCCTGGCTGCTCTTTCCTGCAGTGATCCAGCACATCACAGTGGGAGCTCAGCTGGGCCAGCTGACGTTTCAGGTGCTCATTCTGTGACAAAACATCACAAACACTTTTCAATGACAGACAAATACATTGTCAGAAAGCTCTTCTAGATTGTTCTAGAGATTGTTTGAAAGAAAAGTATCTATTACAGACAAGCATGTACAGTTCAACTGAAGACTCGTAGTTCTGAGGTATGTTTTTTTTCCTCTCCAGGATCTCAAGGTACAAGGTACATCATAAAGGTACAAATCCCAGAAACCCATTCAACCATATAGCCATATCATCAGTATCACCAAGTGCCCTGCTGAGTGGAAGGGGCGATCCTCCCTCTCACCAGTCCTTTCTTCAACAGCACGTATCAGTTTATGTGCTGACACACTTACTTACAGCCACACAGCACGGTTATATTGGGGCACGGTTGCAAAGTAACCTGAAGTCCAGTGTGCATATGGGTCGGATGATGTGGCGCATGGTTTACTTCAGCAATAAGGGGCATATATGTGCGTGGGGTGACCCACCATCTCAGATCCCCTTAATCTAGGTTCTGCAGTCCCACGCCAGCTCAGGTCCCAGTGGACAGCCACTCTGTTGCTTGCCTTATGGTTTCATCTGCCACTGCAGGCTGACTACTTGTATTGAGGAGAATGCTGACAACTGCTGTTGCTTCCACTGATGATGGAAAAGACTTCTCCGGCAAAGACCAGCCACTCATCATCACCATCATGTGCCCTGCCCAGCTGCGTAGGTGTTCATGTCTTTCCACAGATATTGGCCCTTGATATGTTGAATCAATTCCACATGATATTCCTCTCTGCCATGGCTTCAGGCCATCAATCATCATCTCACTCGGTCTACCTCTGCCTCTTCTACCTTTGATCTTTCTGCTCCTCATGATGTCAATGCCTCTTTTCTCATCACATGACCAAAAACAGTGACTGTCTTTTTTTCCTATAGTTTTATACAATTTTCTAATTTCATTAGCTATTTCCAGGCAGTCATTGGTTACTCTGTCTATGGTATCCACAGCATGCGTCTCAGAAACCACATCTCCACGATCTTCCTCATTTGTTCACTAACATTTTGAGATTCGTGGCAGAGGTTCATTAATAAGTTTCATTTATAAATGTGTTAAACATGCTTCATCTGCTGAAATGCTGCCTTCGCCTGCCATATCCTTCTCTTATTCTTTGAACTTGACCTGCTTAAGCAGCTACTGGGCTAAAGTTAATCTAAGTCTGCTGATGAAGCATATCAATCGGCAAATCCAGAAACACAGGAAACTATTACATGATAATTTCACAGTAAAACTAACATATCAATATTATTTACATGCTGCACTGGCTGCTAAAGATGGGGACAGAGCAGTTATGCGAATGTCCTGATTGCTGTGATATGGATTCTAAGCTCAATTATTATACACATGGAATAAACTGTCTTTGTCTCACCTGCCTTGAAACTCTCTCTCTCTCTCTCTCTCTCTCTCCCTCTCCCCCTCCTCTCTCTCTCTCTCTCTCCCCCTCCTCTCTCTCTCTCTCTCTCTCTCACAGGAAGAAATGCAACAATCACAATGTAACACTTCAATCATTCATTCCTGGTCCTGTTGTGTTATTTTATCTAGCAGAGATAGCAGTTTATTCTCCTCTCCCCACCCCCTTCCACAATTCTGTTCTATCTTGTAAAATCATTTCCATATCACTGATGGCATCTAGTCCAGTACTTTTGACTTCTCTTATCAATGTTCGTTTTGATATCATGGAGGGCAAGTCCAGTACTTTTGACTTCTCTTATCAATGTTCGTTTCAGTGTTTCTTTTAGGTGCTCTCCCTTCTTCATTCCCTCCTTTTCCCATTGTAGTGCCTGTTTAATGACTTCATTTCTTCTCAGCATATGTTTAGTATAGCACTATCTTGTTTGTTTTATCAACTGTTGTTTAGTATAGCACTATCTTGTTTGTTTTATCAACTGTTGTTTAGTATAGCACTATCTTGTTTGTTTTATCAACTGTTGTTTAGTATAGCACTATCTTGTTTGTTTTATCAACTGTTGTTTAGTATAGCACTATCTTGTTTGTTTTATCAACTGTTGTTTAGTATAGCACTATCTTGTTTGTTTTATCAACTGTTGTTTAGTATAGCACTATCTTGTTTGTTTTATCAACTGTTGTTTAGTATAGCACTATCTTGTTTGTTTTATCAACTGTTTTAACTAGTGGTAGTGCAGACATTTTTCTTATTTCTTTATCCCTTCCATTTTTTTTTCAGCTGAGTGACGTGGAGGAAGGGTTTGTGATTCAGTGCTTGATGGGGGCAAAAGCTTTTGTCTTTCCGTGTCCACGCAGAAGGTCTTTAACATCATCAGTCCATCTTCTCCTAGGGTCCTCCAAATTCTCCTAGTGTCCTCTTGCTTTCATATTAAGTCTTTTCATGTGTAGCGCATGTGTTGACAGTTGCGGCCGCATTCTAATGAGATGATCAAACCATTTGATCTTTTCTTTCTCAAATAATTTGGTGCATGGTGTTGTTCCCACAGTCTGTCTGATTGTATCATTTCTCACTTTGTCTTGGATGGTAAAGTTGGAGACTTTCCTCTGGCAATTTCATAGATGTTAATTTTACATAGGTTGGCCTTTGATAATGTCCAAGTCAGGCACTGGTAGCATAGTGTTGGTAAGAATTCGCTGTTTACAATGTTTCCTAGCACTCATACTTATGTTTGGATGTCTTAATATTGGCGTCAGTTGGTATATAAGTGCAGTGGCTGGTTCGCATCTTGTTTCTACTTCCCGATCTATTTTCCCGTCCGAGAAGATACTTCCTAGAATATTTAAATGCTTTAACTGGTTTCAGACAAGTACCATTCAACCCGCTATGTAGCAGACTAGGAATTCTACTGGACACTGCTTCAGTTTCAGTAGCATTTATATTTGTGTTATATCTCCTGCATCTCCTTAGCCTGTTTAAGTGCTCTTGCAGGTGTGAGCAGGTTGTTAAAATATGTGTTCTTAATACAATTAGAGTCAATAACAAGAGCTTACTTGTTCAACCAATACCGGGTCGTAAAAATGTCCTCTTGCATCAATGGGGGGTAACTCTGAAATCCAAGCTGTGGCGATCAGACGTTTCGCTTCCTCCAAGCACAGGCGTAGGTTCTGGCAGGACATAGAGGCTTCTCTAAGCGTGCTGTAGTCCATACTCTGGTGGTTAAACATACAGGGGAACAAGTTATCAAGCAAAACTTTTAATTATTGGTCCTTTAAGTCATGCTTGTTGAGGGTCAGTGGCATTGTTCTATCCCTCCATCCAAAATAGGACCATAGGAACCCACGGAAATACTGCGGAGTACATAAACTGGAGGACTAGGCATGGCAGAATGTTAAGCCTCAAAGTTGTTTTAGCTACCGACAGCACTTTGCTAATTCAATTAAAACATATGACCTGTAATCTATGGTTCTGCTGCCTAAGCTACTGAGTTTAGTGCTTGGTGCAGCCCTGTGAGCTGTTTTTTTTCCCCCATGTGGAATGCCTCTCATTTGTGCAGCAGTAGAGTCATGGTATTCAATATGGCCGGTAGTCAGTTTACAAGGGGTATAGCCAACTTATTGTGCCTGAACTATCATTTAAGGCAAATTGCATTTCTGGTTGTGACTGTTGGCTTTGGCACTTCTAGCAAAGGCCATATGCATTAACTGTGTGTGCATATTTCTTGACAGTGCCTGGACTAATTGTTTGTTCACCATTTTACATATGAGACAGTGAGGGACATTTCATTTGATTTTCACTGGCACGGGAACAGAGCAAGTATGGGGGTGACCCAATGGCAGTGAAGCTGAAGCCTCGACTAAGACTAAGACAGAAGACTTTGTAGCTCTAGCTACGATTCCCCAGGGTCCTCTAAAGCCCTCCTTACATATCCAAGAGCAGAGTTCAAAGTTGCACCCCTGCTTTTCATCGAGTAAGAGACAACTGGCTTAACCACTCAACCACTGAAAAAGTGACACATGTCAAAAATAGAGAGAAGAAAGTTTAGAACAAGGTATGAGGAAGGACAGGTGAGGAATATGGTTCCTATTAAAGAAAGAATGAGAGTAGATACTTCTTCTTTCTTCTTTGCGTTCGGTTTCAAATGCTCAGGTCAGACCATCAGGTGGGTTGTCTTAATTTAATGAACTCCCATGTCAGTTGCAGGTGCTTCATGGTTCCCCCTTAGCTTAAACTGCAAACTCTGCTCTTGAGGCCAGGTTTCTTTTTAAAAGTGTAGGTAGACTGGGCAGGATAGTTACAAAGCGGTTCTGCACCGCTTAATGGTGATCTGATATATGACAAGCTAGATGTTGTCAGGGCTCTTTGGAAGTGATTGAACACAGATAGGTCATTATGGTCTGGGGAGAATGGCACTGCAAGTTACTAGGGGATCTGGCCAACGCTCAACACTCAGGGGAAAGGCGAGACGGAAATACAATCAGACAGCCGACGCTTAACACTCAGGGAAAAGGCGAGACGGAAATACAATCAGACAGATACTGGTGCCATTGGAATTAGAACTCTTCACTTGCTGCTGAAGATGGGGACGGAACGCTTATGGGGGTGTCCTAAGTGCTGTGATGTCAACTCTTGATTCGACATTCCACATTCAGATACAAGGTGCAATGAAGATGTCTTAAAAACAGTTAACTTACAAAGAGAACTCGTTTGTCTCTCTCCTTCTCTCTCAACATTTAGCAACACAAAATTAGACAAAGCATGCACAAAGGTCAATGCTCTCAGCAATTCCTCAAACATGCTTGTCATTAATTCGACTTATCTTGGTCTATAAAACTTCAACAAGCGGCTGGCTGAATGGTTAAGAATGCTAGACACTCATGCAAAAGACCCAGGTTCGAATCCTCAGTAAGGCTGAAGACATTTGTTTCTGTTAGGGGCAAAAATCCGAACAGCAGTCCGTAGCGACTGCACTAGCCATACCGCCCAAAATCTACATGCTCAAAGACCCTCTCCCCACTCTTTTCTACAAAAGTGGTATACACGGGTAGCAACTGGTAGTTTTGGCAATACAGCTTCATGCAGCAGCATTCTCTGTAAATCATTACACAATGCTTGTTCAATGCAGGGTATTTAATGAAGTCATGAGAAAGTTAATTTTCTGATGCAACATGCAGAAGTGGAATAGTGAGCTCAACCCTTGGAGATAAGGCAGACAAAACATACAGACACAACAGACTGATATAAACAGACGAAGAGATGGATGCATTATACAGACGTTAGATTAGGAAGTCATTCATGATGCACAGAATACAGTATTTTTCATGCATAAAAGGCACCCTATGTATAAGATGGATCATTACTTTTTATTTTAAAACCCTAAATAAAGAAATAAATATTTGTTAATCATGTTAAATGTATAAGATGATCCCAAATTTTTATGACAAAGTTTGTGAAAAGATATTGTCTTATGCACAGAAAAACTCGGCAAAATAGATATAAGTTACTGAAGTTACACATATAAAGTTGGGACATGCTAGAAATAGAGACAAGACAACAGAAAATGATGGATGGTGGATATAGAAGATGAGACACACAAATTAATGATTGATGGTGGATATAGAAGGTGAGACACAATACACAAATTAATTATGGATGGTGGCTATAGAAGGTGAGAACACAATACACAAATTATATTATGGATGGCAGCTAAAGATGAGACAATTTACACTAATTAATTATGGACGGTGGACACAGATAAGACACAATACACAGATTAATTACAGATGATGGACACAGAAAATGAAACACGATACACAAATTAATTATGGACACAATACACACACAAGTCAGACAGATGGTGTCCAGAGGTTTCATGAAGCATGTTACAAGATGCGTGAACTCTCGTGTTCAAGGCACACAACAAAAGATCAAGTCATTCAGAGAAATAATGTAATTTACCTTCATTCTCTGTAACAAAACAAAGAAAATTAGCATCATTAACCTCTGCAAGACTGCAAGTCTCTAAATCAAATACCACCCCCCGCCCCCCTCCCCCTCCCCCCAGGCCTTATTGAAAATAAGCCAAAGCATAAGTTTTCAGGCAGCGTTTAAGACTGAGGCATTGCATGTCCGACTCGTAATTCCAAAGTACTGCGATCGAAACCCACTGCTGGCTGAGTGAATTTTTATCATGGTATGGGGCGTCGCAGGTCGACCCAGCCTAAAATGGGTACCAGGATGTAAGTCCTGGGGAAGTAAAGACGGCTGACGTAATACTGACCACATTACCAACCTAGTGCATTGGGCTGTAAAATGACAACATCAAGAAATGGACAAAACTAAGTTATCACACACTTATTCATATTAGAAGGCAGAAAAATGTGTTTTGTGTGCTTGCTAGTGATTCCATCAATACACCTCCACGATCCTAACAGGTCAAGGGTTATGTTATGCTAACTTGTCTTGGAAACACATTTTTCTCAACAACCACTTGCCCACAGTCAAACTATTGTCATGAGCAACTCATGTCATACCTCCCCTTTTTTGCCCCCCCCCCCCTTCCCCATATACATGCAGCCGAAAATATCCATAATAAACTCATTTCTTGTCTTATTCCAAGGGGAAATGAGGGAATGCACAAGGCCTTCTTTCAACTCCAAATAATGCACCATGTATACTGGATATTACTCATGTGCACCAATCAGCATGTTTTGTATATTTGTACATCAACACAACACAAGTGACCCAGAAAAGTGCTGCGTATTCAGACCCTGTGGATGCAGTATACCCATGCTTCTGCCATCACTATTGCTGCAATCAGGTACCAGCTGTTATCTGTTGTGACTGAAAGAGTTATTTAAACAACATCTCCTACCTCTGAGACAGTCTTAGTCTTGTACAGCTTCAGCCGGCTCCCAAGCCTGGCCTCCAAGCCACTGAGGACCACCAGACACTCTGCCGTCTCCTTGCGCAGCTTCTCGTGGGAGTCCAGCTTTAGTATGGCAAAGAGGCTGCGGATGTCTGAGCTGACCATGGCTTGAGGCATTGTTCCTGCTGGATGAGCATTCATTAAATTAACCATGCTTTAAGATTTGTATTTTGTGCCCAGTAGAATTGCTTTAGTGAATTCTCAGGATGAAGACAATCCAATGCAATCTACCTCAATTAGCTGAGGTGAGAAAGATAGCTATATAAGACAATGCTGAAGCTAGAGGTTAAAGTCGAGACGATCAACTTCATTGCACCGGGTTTTATGCCATATGGCTCTGTCTCTCTGTTGGCAGAATGGCTAGGCGCTTGCTGAGAGCGCCGCACAGAGCACGAACTCCGTAGCTTTTGGCAACGATCCCCAGAGATCTCTGTAAAAACTGCACTCGTGAACTGAATTACGTAGCCGTGAAACAATCCAAACTGCATCTCAGCAACTTCTCTACCTTCTTTATGTTCACCAACTGTAAACTCTGAAAGTTCTGGCTGTTCGTCCAATTCAGGACTCTGGTCATGCTCTATAACTCAAGTTTTGCAAGCACATCTGTTTTACAGATCTGGCTTATTTGTATGCAGACAGCTGCTTCCTCATCTCTCCTCACAGGCAGATGCACTCTGACTCCAAAATAAACACCCCTAGTTAGTGTCCTTTTATGACACGCTTGTTAGGTGGCAGTTAGTCTACTCCCCCCCCCCCTTTTCCATGGGGGCCTAAGAGCTCAGAAGGGGAATTTCCCCAGACTATCCTAGCAGTTCTCAAAATTCTCTTCTTCTTCCTCTGCCGTGTGTCCCTCAATGCAATGTACATCACCATCTCCAGTGCACACCACTAACTTCCCCACATCTCGCCAAGCACACAATTTTGTGTTGGCTCCCATTCATGCCGTGGCTGTTCCCACGGACTGTCCTATGTTTTAGGGGTGTTAGCATATGAGTTCCTTCCCCTTCTACTTGTGTGTGCATGTGCAGGAGGAAGTGTTCAAGCTGTTCCCACGGAATGTCCTATGTTTTAGGGGTGTTAGCATATGAGTTCCTTCCCCTTCTACTTGTGTGTGCATGTGCAGGAGGAAGTGTTCAACTAGTTTTCTTTTCTCTGTCAACCATGTCTCTAGTTCAACAGTGGCTGGTTTGAGAATTGGTGGCTGATAAGGGCCGTCGGAGAAGGGGGAAAAAGGGGGAGGGGGTTAGAATGACTGACATTGTGGATGTACCATATAATAGTTGGCAACCCACCGTGTTGCTTCAGATAGCAACACTTCTCTGCTTGTCGCTCGCCAATACTGACAGCTGAAGAAAATTCATGGCGATGAAGAGCGAATGCACACCACAAGTAAAACATAGTGGCAAGTAAAACATACAGTGGCAGCCGCTCATAGCGTGGAAAATCGAACATGCTGGCTGCTCACAATGCTGAAAACAGAATGCTTATAGTGTGAAAATAATGAAATATAACACCTGCAGAATATAGGCCAATATGTGGAAACGGCCACATTATGAATGGGAGCCCAAAGTAAATCTCACAAATTGCAATACGCAGGAAAGTTCAAGACATATAACGCATCATCCTTACTGTGTGCCCTGCCCAGTGGCACTCGTATCTCTCCACAGAGAGAGTACTAAGAATTTGTTTCACCATGCCTTCGCTTCAGCCTATCAAGCATTGTCTCTCTTGATCTGCCTCTGCTACTTTTGATCTTTCTAGAACAAGGTTACTGGGCAACCGTTTCAAAAAGTCCCCTTCTCCACTGCCTCAGATTTCTTTACCACTTCCTTGCCCTATGTCTGACACACAATGTCTGACACACACACACACAATCTACTAACACTCACCTTTAGGCATAGCACAGTCACTGCCAGCAAAGTACTTGAGTGGTCTGGGTGAGCGGTTGGGTGATGTGCTCTGGCTGGACAGTACTGACCGGTGCGGAGACAAGTGGTTGGTGGACATCTGGGTCAAGGCTGAGTAGGGACGAAGTTCTTGGTTGAGGTCACTATCGCTGAAGTTCAGGTCATCCAATAGTTTTTCTGATTGGTCAGATCAATTCAATGTTCAGGTAATTACAAAAAACAAAAAAAAAAAAAAAAAAAAAAAAACAAAAAAAAGTTTTTTTTTTTTTTTACAAATATTAAAAGTCAAAGAATGATAGAAAAAGAAGAAGAAGAAGACACCAGTTCAATGGACAGAAATAGAAGTAATGAAAATTAAGAGAAAAACTGTAGATCTTCTTCTACTTCACTTTCACCAGCTGTAAACTCCGCCAGAAAGTTCTGGTTGTTCATCCACTTCTGGATTTGAGTTTTGCTCCAGGATTTGAGTTTTGCATGGAAATCCATGTTACACATCTGGCTTATTTGCATGCAGACTGTTGGTTCCACCTCTTTCAAGCAGAAGCACTCAGACTTTAAAGGTGACAACACTTACCACATGACTGTTAGGGGTGATGACTCTTACCACATGACTGTTTTGGGGGACGACTCTTACCACATGACTGTTTTGGGGGACGACTCTTACCACATGAATGTTAGGGGTGATGACTCTTACCACATGACTGTTTTGGGGGATGACGCTTACCACATGACTGATTTGGGGAATGACTCTTACCACATGACTGTTTTGGGGGATGACGCTTACCACATGACTGATTTGGGGAATGACTCTTACCACATGACTGTTTGGGGGATGACGCTTACCACATGACTGATTTGGGGAATGACTCTTACCACATGACTGTTTGGGGGATGACTCTTACCACATGACTGTTTTGGGGGATGACTCTTACCACATGACTGTTTGGGGGATGACTCTTACCACATGACTGTTTTGGGGGATGACTCTTACCACATGACTGTTTAGGGGATGACTCTTACCACATGACTGTTAGGAGGGATTACTCTTACCACATGACTGTTAGGAGGGATTACTCTTACCACATGACTGTTTAGGGGATGACTCATACCACATGACTGTTAGGAGGGATGACTCTTACCACATGACTGTTTTGGGGATGACTCTTACCACATGACTGTTTAGGGGGTGACTCTTACCACATGACTGTTTTGGGGGGATGACTCTTACCACATGACTGTTAGGGGGGATGACTCTTACCACATGACTGTTTAGGTGATGACTCTTACCACATGACTGTTTAGGTGATGACTCTTACCACATGACTGTTAGGGGGGATGACTCTTACCACATGACTGTTAGGGTGATGACTCTTACCACATGACTGTTAGGGGGGATGACTCTTACCACATGACTGTTAGGGGGGATGACTCTTACCACATGACTGTTAGGGGGATGACTCTTACCACATGACTGTTTGGGGGGATGACTCTTACCACATGACTGTTGGGAGGGGGGCCTCATAAAAAGCATCCTGTCTCAAAAGCTGATGTATTCTGGCCATGTTAAACATCATGTTGCCTTGAAGATAATGGTGGTGGGGGGTACAGTTTCCAGACCACGAGGCAGAGACACACCTCCGTCAATGTGGCTATGAAAGCATGAAGGTCTGGAGAATTGGCTAGAGAAAAAGAGACTTTCATGTGTGCAAGACGAAAGAGACGTTCAGTAAAGGACCTTGCTTGGTTAGTTACGAATCCTTTACAGGACGTTGCAGAACCAACCCCAACAGCCCCCGGCTGTTGTGTGGTTTTTCTAGGCAAATTTACATCAAGTAGTTTGCCAAGTAAAGGACCTACTGACTGAAAAACAACATCAAACATGACAAATACCTGCAGTATCCTCTCTGGTCGGGACGGTCGTCGTAGCCAGGTTTGGTAGATCATGATGACTACTTCCCACAGTAGTTGTGGTGGTGCATGTGGTGACTGATGAAGAGGACATGCTAAACCCATCAACAAAAACTGAAAAATGTCAAAGGATTACACTTAACTGTCATTCTGTGTATTACCTTCTTCTCTAGGATTTAACTAATCATGCATCAGGTCCCTTGCAGAAACTCGGTCTCTTGCCAGCTTCCCGCCTCATCAACTTTCCTACCCATAATGTCATTTATACCCTATGCCCATCTTGGTGTTGGCCAGCCCCTGTCCCTTTTTCCTGGTACCATGCTTTCTGCAATTATTTTTTTCCGATCCGCCGTGATGCTTGACATGGCCACAAAAATATTTCAGTTCTCGAGACAAAATGCTGTTTACCAGCCAATCCACCTTGATGTTCAGAGGAGGAAGAAGAAGAAGAAAAAGAAGAAGAAGAAGAAGAGGAGGAGGAGGAGAAGAAGCAGAAAGAGGAGGAGGAGGAGGAAGAAGAAGTGTAATTATCTTCTTGCTTCTGAACACAATTTTCATGTTGTAAAAAAAGGAATAAAAGGGATTTTTAAATTCACAACTGGGGTATACAAAACCAAAAAAACACCACATTTTAGCAGAGGTTATCCCACACCAATGCACGGTAATCATCATCATCATGTGCAATGTTGACAGCATCAGAGATCAATGTTAGTCATTCCACATGATCACCAAAGTCCCAGATCAGGTCTGTGTTAATGCCATGATTATGCCATGTTGTCCAAACATTCAGGTACGTCTCTACAACAATAAATTAATGATGTTTATGTGCAGAGAGGGGAGAAGCTCAGACATTCACAGGAATTAATCTTGGGATAAGAATAACAGAATAATGATTTGCATGTGCAAAATAGCATCTGACTCGACAACGCACATGCCCACAAGAGTAAATCACTGCTTCCCCACAATGATTCCCTATCTTGGGACAAGGACAACAACAAATTATTTAGACTCGCAGAGAGAGGATTGAAGCCCCAAGAAACACTGACCAGAAGTTATTTTGGGTGCCGCTGAATTCTGCTCCAGCCTTGACAGCAGCTCCTCCACCTGCCTTTGTGTAGCAATTAGCTCCTTCAGCAGCTGTTTCATGATATTGTCCTTCTCTTCCTCTGTCAAAAGATAAATAAAAAAAACATTTTTTTAGCATTCATGGGAAAGAACAAGTAACATTTTTGTGCTTTATTAAAATCCTACCCCAAACAGTGGAAATCCATAGGTCACGGGACAGTCTAATATTTTAGGGGGTGGTAGATAGGCTGTGTGCATTCATGGGACCTAGGCTGCAATCTCTCGTGGGATGTAGGTAGGTTGGTGTTAGGGCCTGTTGTAGATGTTTTTGGGTTGTTAAAAGCATCAGATAGCCAGGAAACCCGGTCTTACCACCCTCTAAAATGTTGGACTGTCCTGTGACATCATCCGGGGTCAGATATTAATAAAGAACCACACTTTCAACAAACAATAAATGATCACAAAGATCTTGCTCTATGTCATGAATGCACAACACTGATGTAGTGCCGTCTTAACGCATGGACTTGCAGGGCCCTTGGCTGAGGCCCTAGGAGCATGGAGGTCCTATACTAATTTCTGTATGTCAAGTTACTTGCCATTAATAAAAAATGTCATTCCTGCCAGAGGTTTCCTTTGGGGCACACTTGTTTGCCCAGGAGCTCATAATTCTGTTAGCACTGTTACTGAGATACAGAGACTATTTCTTTCAATTAGAATTCTTCTTCTTCTTATTTTGTGTAGGTGGTGGACAATGCTGAATCTCTGACGGTAACACGATTGAATATAGCCTAGTGAAGTGCATTAATACCATCTTCAAAATCAAGAAAGGAGACACTATTACCAACTTCTAAAAAGAACAATCAATAGCGGTACCTTGTAGTGGCTGCTGCATTAGAGGACTGAGCGTGCATGGGAATGCCCAGTGTGCACTGACGTAGATTGTGACAACATAACAGAACATTCTTATTCAAGAAGTCACCTACAAAAGTGATGGGTAGATGTAATATCCTATGTTGTAAATACCAGCATTTATGTCGCATACACCAAGGTTCGCATGAGATGACCTTCAAAATCTGATTCTGAAAGGTAGAACAAGACTTGAAAATAAAATAAAGAAGAGACTTCTTCTTTTGCCTTTTATCTCACAACAAAGCACACATTACCCATGTGAACCAAAGCACTCTATCCTTGGTCATCTCAAACAGCCGACTTGATGTTCTCCCCACCCTGATACCTAACAGGCACGACTGCCACTCCTGTCTGTATTGACCACTTTTGCAGTTCTTCTTCATTGTTCACCGGCTGTAATCTCCATATGAAAGTCCTGAATGTTCATCCATTTGAACTCTGTCCTTGTGCCAGGGCCTGAGTTTTGCGTGTACATCCATTTTACTGGCTTATTTGTGTGCAGCTGGTTGTTCCTTGACGCTAGGGCAACATAGCAACATAAGAGAGGTCCGTGGACCCGATAAGACATGAATGGCAAGGGAAGTCACTCTTTCTGGGCTGGGAAACAAAATGAACCCCCTCATACACGCTATACATGAGCTGAAATTATATATATATACATTTTTTTTTTATATATATACAAGAATCAAACAATCAGGTAATCAGAAAATCGCAGTTCCAACTTCACAACAAACGGGACACCCCATAGTTGTTCCGTTCCTATGTCAACTAAAAACCATAAAGTATGCTTATCACGGTTTTCTGTGAAATAATTGACACAGGCTGCAGTCTCGGCAAAATCAGCAGCATACTGCTATAAAAAAAATTTTAAAAACGCCTGTACTTACCACTTCTGCTGTGTAGGCAGTCGGGTTTCTGATCCTCAGAATTTAAGGCCATGTGGTTAATGCCAACACCATAGACTGCGCAGGCTAGGATTTTCTTTTTGCCCCCAATAGAAACAAATCCTCAGACTTAGAGAATTTAAATCTGGGTCTCACATGACAGCCCTTGAATAGCAAATACACACCTTAAATGCACAAGACAGTCATCGGAGGTGCCAACACATACGGTCCAGCACTAGAAATGGAGTTCAACATCAATGAAAGCAGCAGTTACAACAAATCAAAAACAAATCAAACTTACGACTAGCACATGTCAGGGTGACTTCATAGAGATGCATCTGTTTCTTCAGGCTCTGTACCAGCTCCAGCTTCTCACTCAACAGGTACTTCTGCCTGTAAAGGGATGCACAACACTGAACAGGTTACAAACTGGAGTGCCTATGTGTGAGACAGCTGTTAGCAGAGCCAATATAACTGCACTCTGCGTACACTCACATGTGCTCAGTCAGAGGGATAAACAGAGGAGTGGGAAAGAGAGAGAGAGAGGATGAGAGAAAGAGAGGGGAGGAAGGGAGGAGAGGGAGAAAGAGAGAGAAAGATTCTCATGCCTCAGAGATATCAATTTCAAAAGTGATAGCTAGAACAAACTACCCTGATAAATTTAACTGGTGCAAGCTCTATTTTTAGTCCTATTACAAATTAAAGGAATTAAAAGCTATATACATGTAGAACAAACTTTTTCTGCATCCCTCTTTAAAAATTAAGTTGACATGTCCTGCTGAGGTTTACAGCTAGGCTGCGATATCTGCACCTTTCAGCCCAATACATCATTCCTCTTCTTCTTAGCGTCCACCATCTGTAAACGCCTGCAGAAAGTTCTGGTTGTCTGTCCATTTTTGGACTTTCCTCTTGTACCAGAATTTGAGTTCAGCATACACATTCAGTTTACAGATCTGGTTTATTTACACACAGGCTATTGGTTCCTCACCTCTCAGGTATATGCATTCTAACATCAAAGGAAACTGCCCTAATTAGTCGTTTTGTACCACATGCTTGTTTTGAAGGCAGCAAGTCTAACCCCCCCCCCCCCCCCCCCCTTTTTCAGGTGGTACCCCCATTGAGTATATGGACCCCCCCCCCCCCCCCCCCCCCCCCCCCCCCCCCCCCCCCCCCCCCCCCCCCCCCCCCCCCCCCCCAATTCCATATTACAAGTCGGCGACTGTGGCTCAGATGCTGCAAACTAGCTTCATAATGCCGGGTTCAATCACAACTGCTGGCCTTGCGCTAGTTTTGACAGTGGTATCAAGTAACTGACCGTCCAGAAAGGAATGGCAAACTACTGGACGTAAATTTGCCTAGAAAAACCACAACAGCTAAAAAAAATGCTGGGGTTGGTTCTGCAAGGTCCAGGATGTACAACTGACTTTAAACATATTAAAAATGTGATTCAAAAGAGGAAGACAAAATGAAAAATCCTAAAAACTGTTAACAAGAACTTGGAGAAAACACGCACAGAATTCAAGGTGTGAAATAAAAAAAAAAGAAACATTATTCGCCAACAACTGGTAATTCAGTGTTCAAATATCACTGTGATGGTTAACAATGTTTTATATTAATCATATTTGCTTTTTTATGATCTCATGTTGGACAGTCGGCTCTGTGGCTAAGTCAATGAGAACGCTTCGTAATGCCAGGGTGCCGGGTTTGATCCCAGCTGCAGGGTATGCGCCTTGCATTGGTTTCGACAGTGGTATCAGGGGGCCGACCCTCCAAAAGCAATAGCAAACTAATGGACGTAAATTTGCCTAGAGAAACCACACAACTGCCAGGGGCTGCTGGGGTTGGTTCTGCAACGTCCTGCAAAGAATACGCAACTAACCATGTTGGACACGGGCACAACGGCAATCTCTCTCCACATCAAGCTGGCAGCGCCGTTTTGTTTTCATGACTATTAAAGCTGAAAATCTGATTATCTGAAGTAGAAACAAATTTCAAAACTGTTTGACGTTCCCCTTGAGACTTCCTCATGCCCGTACCCCACCCACCCTGCATAAAAGACCACCGGCCTAGGAGAATGTGCAAACATACGATCACAGGAACAACAGGTCAAGTCAAGTTGTAAGATGTGAACCAGCGGCACTGCACACGATTATATACCATAAGTGCTTTGCCACCAGTACAGACAGCCAATAAGAACATGTCTGCCTGTGACGCCGTCCCGATGCAACTCCGTAGCTACAGCAACCTTCCTCCATTTACCCCAGAGTGTTAACTCTGGTACCCATTACCTAGAGGCTGGGAGGAACCCTGGGAACCATCCGGTTTTGAACACCTGACATGGGTAGCAGCGAGTCGCAGCTCGCTTTCTTCTTCTTCTTTGCGGTCACCAGCTGTAAACTCTGGCGGAAAGTTCTGTTTGTTCATCCACCTATGGCTTGCAGTCCTGTTCCAAAACCTGAGTGTTGCGTGTGCATCCGTTTTACAGATCTGACTCATTTGTATCCAGACTGCTGGTTCCTTGCCTCCCAGGCAGATGCACTCAGACTTCAAAGGGAGCTCCCAATTAGTCCACTCTTACCACATGCTTTTGGGTAGGCAGTGGGTCTATTCTGTTTTCCCTTTAATAGGGCCTCAGAACCCACACGGGGAGGAGCTCGTTTTTAAAGCAAGTCTCCTATTGACTTCACTAATGCGACTCCTGAGGTAAGCCTGTTTGCCACTGTACTACCACCATGGTTTTCCAACAACAATATACAAAACAGACTAGAGGATGTGCTTACTTGGTGAAAGCTGTGTCCAGCTTCTTGTACTGGCCAAGGAGATGATGAAGCTGCTTATCTCTCTTCTTAATTTTCTCCTCTCTCTCCCTCAGATCTTCTGCCACCTTCTTCTTTGCATCCTCTACAAGTCTGACACTCTCCCCAGCACTCGCAAGTTTTTCTTTCAGAACAATAACTTCAGACTGAGCACTGCATAAAGTATTCAGTCTTTCCCTGAGCTCTGCCTCTACCGCAGTCTTTGAGTCCAGCTCGGAATTCAAAATGTCAATTCTGTCTTCTAAGGATCGTATCTTTTCTTGAAGTGACCTGATATGGTCCTCCAGTTGTTCTTTCCCCTTCAGTTCCTGTTGTAAACCATCTATTCTATGTCTGAGTTCAGCTGCTTCTTCAATCTTTGATTCTAACTGTGCTCTCATCTGATTCTTGTATTCCAACTGAGCCTTCATTTGATTATTTTCCTCTGTTACTCTCTCAATCTCTGACTGGTAACCCACTTTTTGGAATTCGTATTTTGCCTCAAGGCTTTCTTTCTTCTTTAGCTCCTCCCTTAGTCTGTCAATTTCCACTCTAAGCCCTGCCTTCTCTTCAATCTCCAACTCCATTTTATCAACTTCTTTTCTCAAAACCCCAAGCTCCGCCTCTAATTTCTTTATCTGCCCATCTTTCTCAGCAAGCCTTACAACAGAAGCTGCCTTCTCAATGTTCAGTTTCTGCAGGGAATGAACCTTTTCTTGCAGGGACTTCTCACACTTGACCACTGTTTCTTTCAGACATCTGGAACTTTCCCTACCCTCCTCAATCTGCTTCCTCATCTGTTCATTCTCCTGATCCCTCTCCTCGATCTCACAGTACAGCCTCCTACATTCAGACTCGCTATTTTCTTTGGCCATTTCCAGCCTGAACAACTTCTTCTCAATGTCCAAAAATTCCTTATCCCGCTTCAACAAATCCACTTCCAGCTCTGACTTCTCACTCATAACTTTCTTTAACTCATCCTCCTTCTTTCTTTCAAACTCTTCCTTCATATTTAACTCCGTCAGCAGATCTATAATCTGTCGATCCTGATCTTCAATCTTCATGACCTGGCTCTTCACCGTCTTCTGGAGGTCGGCTACATTCACCTCCAGCTTCTCCACGAGCAGAGCTTTTTCCCGGGAGATCTTGTGCTGCATCTCAGCCAAGTCCCGCTGCCACTTCTCCTCTTTCTCCACCATCTGCTGCTGCAGGTGCGATATCATCGTCTCTTGTCTGGCTATCCTCTGCTGGGTGTGAGACTGAAAGATCAGCAGCTGATCTGAATAAAGAAGAGAAAACTTAATTACATGCTTGGATACAATCAGACATTTCTATTCTTCTAAAGTTGACTAGTAAAAACACATAGCCCTAAAGAAAAATTGCTGAGATTGTTTTGTAATGTCCTGAAATGAATCTGCACCTGACTCTTTTAAATATAAAAACACACACACAAATGTGAGGGTTCAAGTAGACAGGTTAAGTAATTGTACAGGATCTTTACATGTATGACAAGCTGGATGTTGTGAGGGCCCTGTAGGAGCAAGTGAACAGTACAGAGGCACAAACAGACCATTACGGTCTAAGAAGAATAGCGCTATGGAAAGACGAGAAGATGTACAAGCAGACAGTTACTAGTACCACTAGAATTGAAACTCTTTACTTCTGCTCAAGATGGGGATGGAGCACTCATGGGAGCGTCCTGAGTGCTGCGATGTTGATTCTTAATTCAACAATCATTCAATAACACCTTTTACTGAAAAAAATGCAGATCCATATGTGGATCATGGATGTGGATGGGACAAACCCACTACCCCTTCACAAGCATGTCTTAAAAGACAACTAAATGATTTTGTTGAAACTGGATGTGGGGAGCAGGTATTGCAGGCGTAAACCATAACACAACGTGCCAAATGTTAAAAGGACAGTAGAAGGGAAAATAAAACAGGGAAGACCTAGAGAGACGCTACATAGAGCGATCATCAGGGAAGGCTCTAATAAACATTCAAGACTTAAAAACAGATGGCAACAAACCACCAGAAATGGAGAGCTATGACCTCTGCACCACCCTAGGCTCAGGAGGAAAGACTAAAGTAATCTGCGAGTAATGTGCCCACCTTTAATAGAACACTTCATATTTGCCACATCTAACAAACACCTCTCCACTCAGCTATCTTCTTCTTCTTTTTCTTGGTATCCCTTGACTGTTGCCTCCGGCAGAAAGTTCTTGTTGTTTGTCCACTTCTGGGCTTTGGTTTTATCCTAGAACTTGAATTTTACATGCTCAGACGTTTTACAGATCTGGCTTATTTGTAAGGAGACTGTTGGTTCCTCATCTCTCAGGCAGATGCACTCTGATTTTAAAAGAAACAACCCTAAATAGTCGCCTTTTACAACTCGCTTGTTGAGAACGAAGAGGGGCAGGTGGGGGCACAGTGGTCTCCTGGAAGTCCCAGAACCCACAGAGGGAACTCAGCTATCAAAATTATTACAACTCAGAAATGATTTATCACAAATTATCATCTTTCTCTTCAACCTAAGAAACATCCACTGCAGTTCAAGACAGCAATAACACTGCAAACGGTATTAAGATTCAGTTGTAGTTTTATTGTTGGCCTGTTTGTGTTGGCAATTCTAACATCTGCCTTACGCATATAATGTAAATGTATGAAGTATACATAATGAGTTTACTGAGACTTCAGTCTGTGTAAAACATTATTTAATTAATTTAATTAAATATAGAGACGAGGAACAGAGCAACTAGGGGGGGGGGGGGGGGGGGGGGGGTGGGGTGACCTGTTTGCGATGAAGTTAGAACTGTGATGACCTAAGCACCCATAGACATTAGAGTGCCTGGACATATTATGAGTTAAAACACTTAAAAACTTAGTAACAAGTAGCAAGATTAATGTGAAAAAAGCAAGAAGAAGCCATACAAAGATGACAGTTGGGGAAAATGACATAACCCCCCCCCCCCCCCCCCATCTTTGTGTGGGTTGGGAGAAAGAGAAAAAATACTCCCCTCTTTCCCTTGTGTGGGGTGGAAGAGAGAAAAAGAAAATTCTCCCAACAAGCAGGTCACGAAAAGTGGCTAATTAAGGATCTGCTGAAGTCGGAGGTGTTGGGCCGGAGAGGTGCAAATATCACAGACTTGACCTTAGGTCAACCACAGAACAGTGTACCAACTACACTTCTGAGAGTGAACACAGGAGGAGGAAGTGAAGGGAATGGGGAGGAGGAGGGGAATGGGGAGGAGGAGAGGATGGGGAGGAGAAGAAGAAGAAGACAAATAAAGAAGAGGTGGTGGAGAAGAAGAGGAGGTGGAGAAGGACATAAAGGAGAAGAAGGAGAAGCAAAAGCATGGAACATGTGGGTAAATGTCTAATATCTACTGATGGCAACAGAGCCAGAGGTAGACCACAGAAATATCAGAGACACTGAAAAGTACTTTTTACAAAGCGAACAGAAGAGCCCGTCCCAGAGATCTCGTCCTTCCCTGACACCGCAGGGCATTTCAGGAGTAGAAAACAGAAGAATGAAGAAGAAAAATCTATGGATACTTGTTCTCACCTGGATCTTTAGTGACATCCAGTCTCTCCAGCCGCTGCCGCAGCTTCCTGATCTCAATCAGATGCTGCTTCAGCAGGTCTTCTTCCGTCCCATTTCTCTCCTGTCCATAGCCCTCGCCAGCACACTCTTCACCGAGAGAAGGAGAAACCTGCGTGCCCTGTGAGCGGTGCAGGGCTTCGTAGACTTCGATCTCCTCTCTCAGGGTCAGACTGACTCGTTCCAGATGCTCCACACGAAGCTGAAGCTGCTCCACTGTAACAATCGAGGCAGCAAATGGATTATGAGTAAGAAAAAAAATTTTTTTTTTTAAATCACATATTATTTTTCTTCTTTGCATTCACCGGCTGTAAACTCTGACGGAAAGTTCTGGCTGTTCGTCCATCTCTGGACTTTAGTCTTGTTCCGAACCTGGGTGTTGCAGGCATATTCATTTTACAGGTCTGACTTATCTGTATGCAGATTGTTGGTTCCTTGCTTCGAAGGAAGCCTCTAATTAATTAACTCTTACGGCATGCTTGTTGGGGAGACAGTGAGTAAATTCCTGTTTTCCCCGCAACAGGACCCGGAACCCACATGGTGAATCTATCACGTAATAAAATCGATATTGGAAATGTCACATATTTGGAATATTTGGGATCAATAGTAAACAAAAACAGTGACTGCACAAAAGTCTAGAAAAAACTCGCCTAACCAAATAGCACGAAGAACAGCACCTGCAAGCGAGTTAAAAGTCATAATCTTGAGTCCATATATCTTTCCGTAATAACTTATGGATACAATTACTTGCCCCTTAATCAACGGAGAGAGAAAAATTTGAGCTTTTGAAAATGATTAAGAAGAATTCTTAGAACACCATGGACCAGAAAGAATAAAAAACACACTGACATCGTAGACGATCTGAGCATCGAGGAGACTTGGCTAATAAACAGCATCCTGTGCTGAAAGCTGCAGTATTGTGGTCATGCTGAATATCATGGTGGCTGGGAGAAACAACGATGGAGGGTATAATTTCTGGAAAAGGAGATAGAGGCAAACATTTGCAAAGTGGATACAAGACACATGGGAATAAGTTATTCAGTATGGCGATAAAAAAGTATGGGGGTGGGGGATGTTCAGTGACTTATATAACATAACATAACCCTTCACCCGTTAGGGTCATAGTGGTGTACTGATGGAAGCACTAGCATATAAAACCCACAATCTTTCTGTCTTCAACTTGATGAACAAGTGTATGATAACTTAGTTCTGTCCATATCTTGATGTTGTCATTCCAGGTTCTTGCCTTCCTCATCTTTAACAACGCCCTCATGTTCCTTGAAGCACAGTCTTTGCAATCAAATCATATCTCACCACATGCTCAAATCAAGCTAGCTTGCAATGTTTCACCACTGCCAAGAGGCTCCTGATGTCCTGCAAATTTGTGTATTTTGTCTCTGACATATTTATCAGTTTTATGTTATAAATTATTATTTCGTAAAATGCGTCTGTAGTATCTACATTCAAAAGCCTAAAACCTCCTTTCTATTTCCACAGTGAGAGATAAACTCTCACAAAATTATAAAAAACAGACAATACCAGTGTGTGCGCATGCGTGCACACGTATGTGTGCGCGTGCGTGTGAGAGAGAGAGAGAGAGAGAGAGAGAGAGAGAGAGAGAGAGAGAGAGAGAGAGAGAGAGAGAGAGAGAGAGAGAGAGAGAGAGAGAGAGGGAGGGAGAGAGAGAGGGAGGGACAGAGAGAGACAGAGACAGAGAGAGAGAGAGAGAGAGAGAGAGAGAGAGAGAGAGAGAGAGAGAGAGAGAGAGAGAGAGCACAAATGTTATGCTGCTGTACTCACTGCTGAGACTGGAGACACTAGAAGAATCCTCCCTGATGGCAGACATGTTCTGGTCCAGGTTGGCCAGCAGCCTGTTGACCGTGGTGTTGTCCAGCATGCTGGAGTAGGTCACATCAGGGAACCCAGAGCAGTCCAGCACACTAGCATCAATGGCCTGCTTTGGATGACCCTGCCATGGGGATCTCTGACCACCGGCTTGTCTTTGACCGCTGTACCCGTGTGAGGACTGACCAATTCTGCTACGTGGGGACTGTCCAGTTCTGCCAGGTGGGGATTGATCGGTTCTACCAGGTGAAGAAGGATCATCTTGGAGATCAGGGGAAGCCTCTGAGTTAATTTTCAAGCTCACTGAGAGGGCTGATGCTGAATCTGTACTTGCAGTATGATCAGTATAGGTGACTTCAACAGGGCCAGTCTTTTGTGACAAATTGTTGAAACAAACTGGCAAATTGAAATTGGGCTGTGAAAAAAAAAAAAATATTATCCTCAAACAATGAAAGGAACTGCTGATGGAAAAACCATAAACAGGATAAATCCTCGATAATTACATCCTATTAATATGTTTAATATCATAATCTACTGGAAATCAGAAAGGGAGGAACAATTTATGGCAAAAGAGTATAAGGGCAGACAAATTGTAAATGGACAGAAAATGGACAACATGGAAGTGAGAAACAGACTATGAGCCTTGGTTGTAGAGGACAAAATGGAAGTGGCAAACAGACTGAGCCCTAGGTTGTAGAAGACAAAATGGAAGTGAGAAACAGATTATGAGCCCTTGGTTGTAGAGGACAAAATGGAAGTAAGAAACAGACTGTGAGCCTCAGGTTGTAGAGGACAAAATGGAAGTGAGAAACAGACTGTGAGCCTCAGGTTGTAGAGGACAAAATGGAAGTGAGAAACAGACTGTGAGCCCTAGGCTGTAGAGGACAAAATGGAAGTGAGAAACAGACTATCAGCCCTAGGTTGTAGAGGACAAAATGGAAGTGAGAAACAGACTATCAGCCCTAGGTTGTAGAGGACAAAATGGAAGTGAGAAACAGATTATGAGCCCTTGGTTGTAGAGGACAAAATGGAAGTGAGAAACAGACTGTGAGCCTCAGGTTGTAGAGGACAAAATGGAAGTGAGAAACAGACTGTGAGCCCTAGGCTGTAGAGGACAAAATGGAAGTGAGAAACAGACTATCAGCCCTAGGTTGTAGAGGACAAAATGGAAGTGAGAAACAGATTATGAGCCCTAGGTTGTAGAGGAAAAAAAATGGAAGTGAGAAACAGACTGTGAGCCTCAGGTTGTAGAGGACAAAATGGAAGTGAGAAACAGACTGTGAGCCTCAGGTTGTAGAGGACAAAATGGAAGTGAGAAACAGACTGTGAGCCCTAGGCTGTAGAGGACAAAATGGAAGTGAGAAACAGACTATCAGCCCCAGGTTGTAGAGGACAAAATGGAAGTGAGAAACAGATTATGAGCCCTAGGTTGTAGAGGACAAAATGGAAGTGAGAAACAGACTGTGAGCCTCAGGTTGTAGAGGACAAAATGGAAGTGAGAAACAGACTGTGAGCCTCAGGTTGTAGAGGACAAAATGGAAGTGAGAAACAGACTGTGAGCCTCAGGTTGTAGAGGACAAAATGGAAGTGAAAAACAGACTGTGAGCCTCAGGTTGTAGAGGACAAAATGGAAGTGAGAAACAGACTGTGAGCTCTAGGCTGTAGAGGACAAAATGGAAGTGAGAAACAGACTATGAGCCTCAGGTTGTAGAGGACAAAATGGAAGTGACAAACAGACTGAGCCCTAGGTTGTAGAGGACAAAATGAAAGTGAGAAACAGATTATGAGCCCTAGGTTGTAGAGGACAAAATGGAAGTGAGAAACAGATTATGAGCCCTAGGTTGTAGAGGACAAAATGGAAGTGAGAAACAGACTATGAGCCCTAGGTTGTAGAGGACAAAATGGAAGTGAGAAACAGATTATGAGCCCTAGGTTGTAGAGGACAAAATGGAAGTGAGAAACAGACTATCAGCCCTAGGTTGTAGAGGACAGAATGGAAGTGAGAAACAGACTATCAGCCCTAGGTTGTAGAGGACAGATGGAAGTGAGAAACAGACTATCAGCCCTAGGTTGTAGAGGACAGAATGGAAGTGAGAAACAGACTATCAGCCCTAGGTTGTAGAGGACAAAATGGAAGTGAGAAACAGACCATCAGCCCTAAGTTGTAGAGGACAGAATGGAAGTGAGAAACAGACTATCAGCCCTAAGTTGTAGAGGACAGAATGGAAGTGAGAAACAGACTATCAGCCCTAAGTTGTAGAGGACAGAATGGAAGTGAGAAACAGATTATGAGCCCTAGGTTGTAGAGGACAGAATGGAAGTGACAAATTAGCAAATGTTTCGCATTTGCCCTGATCTGAGAAAAATAGTACAGATTTGGGGAACTCTGGCAATGAGGGAGCAGATGTTTTAAAAAAAAAAAAATCTGATCTATCAGTCTTCTTCTTCTTCTTTTTCTTAGTGTTCAGCAGCTACAAACTCCAGTGGAAAGTTCTAGTTGTTCATCCACTTCTGGATTTTAGTGTTGTTCCAGGACTAGAGTTTTGCGGGAACCTCCTATTTTTAAACAAATATAGCTTTTTTTTTCCAGACAGTTGGTTCCTTACCTCTTAGGCAGATGCACTCCGACTTTGAAAGAACCACCCCTAATTAGGCGCCTATAACAGCATGCTTGTGTGTGTGTGTGTGTGCGCGCGCGTGTGTGTGTGTGTGTGTGTGTGGGGGGGGGGGTGTTTATTCAACAAAATGTGGTTCCGGAATCCATGCAGGAGATCTTTCAGTCAACTGTCTCGGGCAGTATTTCAACCTAATCCTCCTCAGCCTCTACTGAGAGCAGAAAAAGCAGAAGAAGAAAGTGTCTTCAGCTATTTTCAAAGGTAAGAACAAAGAGTTTCCGGGTGATGTCATAACCCAAAGCCACTTCAATCCCTCCATTATTATTAATGCAGTTTATCTTTGTGTGGGTACTAGGACCCCGCTTGGGGGAGGGGGCACAGACCCATTGCACACCCAACAAGATGTCGTAAAAATCAAATTATTTAGAGTGTTTGTTGCCTTCAAAGTCGGAGTGCACATACCTGAGAGGTGAGAAATCAACAGTCTGCACACAAACAAGCCAGAACTGTGAAAACAGATAAGTATACACAATTTCAAGTTCTGGAATGTAAGACTTAAGTCCAGAAGTGGACGAACAATCAGAACTTTACCCCACAGTTTACAGCTGGTGAACATGAAGGAGTAACGAGAAGAAGATAGCAGGTGTGAGCAGACATTGTGCGAACTTACACTGGATTTATTTTGTGTCCGCACTGTACTATCGGATGGATCAAGGAGGGTGTCTTCCAGATGCCTGGTTGTCGAATCTGGCGACTGGGTCTGCGTCCCTGACATGGTTGCCACGACGCTGGCAGGCACAGAGTAGCAGCTATCATTGCCAGATTGGCTATAAGTGCTTGGAAAATGGGAGCGGGCTGTCTCTATGGAGTCAACAGCGTCTGGACAGAAAGTTGTGCTGCAGGTTATCCTGCTGTTGCTCAAAGAAATCTGCTTGACATTTTGGCAATCTGTGGTGCAAAAAATTGTCAGAAAACTGGATTATCTACAGTGAAAATATTTATACATGACACACTGCTTATCTATAATAAAATAAGTATTTTTTTTTTTAAAGAATCTTTGAAAAAATCATTTTTAAAAATCTTTATAAATAAAAAAAATCTTTACTTACAATAATAAAAAATATAATATAATAATAATAAAAGAATCTTTATAATGAAAATACTCTTTTAAATAAAACAGACTCTAATGATAATAAAAATAGAATCTTTATAATAATAAAAACAGAATCTTTATAATAATAAAAATTGAATTTTTTAATGATGAAAATAGAATCTTTGTAATAATACATATAACAGAAGAAGGAGGTGGAGTTCAATGCAAACCATGGACAAAATGGAAAGATAACATTAGAAAAACTCTACAACAGCAGGATGTGTCTATGGTCGAGGCGGCCAGAAAAGTTAGAAGTAGAATCCTATATCTCCCTCGACACCCGAAGAGATGAAAGAGGAATGAAGCAGAAGAATCCCAGCTACGTACTCTGCTGTCCGGTAGACATCCACGTGCTCAAATCTCCTGAAGAGGATGTCCTGCGCCCACCTGATGCAGCAGACTTGGCATCCAGACAAGTCTCACTGTTGGATCGATTCATCTGCTGGATAGATATACCAGCTGCACCCAAGACAGACAAATACTCTTGGTTCTTCTGTGATAACAGCTGCACAGTTTCCTCTGAGGCTTGGAGCTTTTCCTCAAGATATTTGACCTACATGGCACGGGAAGAATAACAGCACCTGTTATTGCTGATTTGCAAGACAAATATAACGACAGTATTTGTAATTACTGAACATACCACCACCACGACAAACCACCACCAAAAACAAACCATTATAAAATCGTGGATTTACAAGCTTTTCAATGGAAGAACATTTTCTCTGACCTATTTTTAGATTGGATCAACACTGAATCTCAGGTGAATCATATTTTTCACATCCTTTCTTTATTACATATATTATACATTCAATAGAAAAAAAACACAATACCATTAATCTTTGACCCATAAGACACGCAACAGAACAACACACAGTTAAATAGACAAAGGTTATCTAGAAGTTGTTATCCCAAATAGGGTTGAGGGGGCCCGATCAGAGGAGGGGAGGGGTGTGGATGAATAAGCCCTGCCCCTAAAACAAGTTATGTCAAAAAAGGCAACTATTAGGATGTTTGCGAGTTGAAAAGTAAAAGATATCATAGCCTGGCTGTAAACCGCAACGCAATGTGACCAACCACATTTTTAGGGCAAATGATGAAGAAGAAGTGTGAGCTGTCCGAGCCAATTATTTACCAGCAGATGAAAGACAAAAAAAGAAAGAGGAGGTGAGAAGGAAGGAAGGAAGGAGTGTTAGCTGTCTAAGCCAATTCTTCACCAGCAAATGAAAGGCAGAAGAAGAAAGAGGAGGGGAGAAGGAAGGAAGGAAGGAAGGAAAGGAAGGAAGGAAGGAAGGAAGGAAGGAAGGAAGGAAGGAAGGAAGGAAGGAAGGAAGGGAAGGAAGG